AAAACTTCTACTTCTTAAAAACCATCGTTAAGAGAATGAAAAGACAAGCCATAGACCAGGAGAGAATATTTGCAAATTGTATGTCTGATAAAGGACTTGTATATAGACTATATAATTTTCAAAACTCAATAACACAAAACAAACAATACTTTAATATATATATATATATTTGGAAAGCGGCTTCACCAAAGAAATCATGTGAATACACCCATGAAAACAAAAAATGCTTTCCATGATTGTGTAGGAAATGCAAACTAAAACAGCAATGAAACATCACCACAAGGTTAAGAAGACCGACCATACCAAACACTGGCGAGGATCCAGAGGAGAGAAAATCATGCAACCACTTTGGAATATGCTTTGGCGGTTTCTTTAAAAGTTACACATACGGCCCTCGCTGGTTTGGCTCAGTGGGTAGAGTGTCAGCCTGCCGAGTGAAGGGTCCCGGTTTGATCCCGGCCAAACGCACATACTTTGGTTGCAGACTCTTCCCTGGCCAGGGCCCTGTGTGGAGGCAACCAATCCATGTGTTTCTCTCACATCGATATTTCTGTCTTTCCCTCTCTCTTCCACTTTCTCTAAACGTCAATGGAAAAATATCCTCGGATGAGGATTAAAAACAAATGAGAGGGGGGAAAGTTAAACGTACACTTACCACACGATCCAGTTGTCCACTCTGAGATGTTGGCCGAAGAGAAACGAAAGTGCAGTTGGCCTTCGAATAACACTGTTTTGAACCGTGTGGGTCCACGTGCATGCAGAAAATACCGTCGGTCCCATGTATCCCTGGGTTTCACACCACAGATTCAACCAAGGGCGGATCGGAATATTTTCACATTCCCAACCGCAGATTCCCAATTGTGGATCAAAAATACGGCTTTGGATCCTCGGTTGGTTGAATCCACAGATGTGAAGGGCCGACGATAGTTAAGTATTGGGGGCGTCAAAGATATTCCCAGATTTTTGAGTGCCCTGGAATTGTTTGAGGGTCAGCGATATATTTCTACATAAAGACATGTACATGAATGTTCACAGCAGTTTTATTTGGAATAGCAGTAACAAATGAAAACAAGACAAATGTTCATCAGTAAGGGAACAGATAAATAAACTATAATACATCCATAAATAGAATACTACTGAGAAATAAAAAGGAATGGACCTCTGATATATGCTACAGAATAAATGAATCTCAGAATACTTCTGTTAGATGAAAGAACTCAGACAAATGAAGAGTACATGCTGTGTACGTCCACTATTTAAGTTATAGAAGATACAAAGTAATTTAAAGAGACAGAAGCAGGCCCATGGTTTCCTTGGAATGGTATTGTGGGGAGGGCTATACAGAAGGAATTACTAACGGATAAGAGGAATATTTTTAGGGTGATGGATATGTTCATTATCTTAAATGTGTTGATGGTTTCATTAATGATATATTTGTTACCTTAAATATGTGCAGTTTGTGTTAAATATACCTCAATAAACTGTTAAAAACCAAGTTGGGGGAATGTTGTATTTGGGATTTTTATACAAAGCCAGTCTTTAGTAATGCATTTATTGTTCTGTTTTTCTTATAATTATACTAGAGACCCAGGGCACGAATTTGTGTGTGTGTGTGGGGGGAGGGGGGGCGGGGAGTCTGGCCATCCAGGCCCCAATCTGGGATGATCTGGGCCAGGCCTGTCAGAAGGAGACAGTGGGAGGTTGGCCAGTGGGCCTGCCCCTGATTGGGATGGAGGGGCCAACTGGGGACAGGGCCAGCCATAGGAAGGGGCTGTGGGTGGTGGGCCAGCTGACCCTGCCCCCAAATGGGGTAGGGGGGTTGATCGGGGTCAGCAGTTGGGGGAGGGGCTGTGGAAGGCTGGCTGGCTGGCCAGCCCTACTCCTGATTGGTGTGTGTGTGTGTCAGCAAGGGTCCACAGGCAGTTGGCCAGCCAGCCCTGCCCCTGATCAGGGTGCGGGTGTGTGTGTGTGTGTGTGTGTGTGTGTGTGTGTGTGTGTAGATCTGGGGTGGGGCCATGTGGGGGGAGGGGCTGCAGGTGGTTGGCCAGCTGCCCCACCCCCTATTGGGGTTGAGGGAGTGATCAGGGTGGGGGGCAGATCTGAGGCAGGGCCAGCCAGGGGGAGGGGCTGTGGGCCCATCATGGTAGGGTGGGCCAATCAGGGACAGGGCTGGAGGGGTAAGGGAAGGGGGAGCATTTGGCTGGCCGGCCGGATTTGATGAGGTGGGAGAGTCCCATCAGGGGCCAGCCTGCCAGGGGGGAGGGGCTGCAGGGGGTTGGCCGGCCGGCCTCACCCCCTGATCGGCGGTTTGCTGGCCACAGTGGGCATCATCGTGACCAGTCGTTCCGGCGCTATGGTCGCTGGCTTTTTATACACGTAGATAGCAAGCATGTCCGAAATTACAGTCCACAAACCCCGTTTCACAGACATGGAGGCCCGCACCATGCCGTCACTCTGTGTGCCATGGTCTGGGGAAAGGACTTGTTTGAGGGTCATTCCTCCACGCCTGGGAGGCCACGGGCCACGATGATGTCACTGGTGCTGCAGCACAGAAGGAGAGGCCTCCCAACCTCAGGACTGAGAAGTCCTCGCTACGTTCCCCGCTTTGCTTTCTGGAGAGGCGAGTGGCTAAGGGCTGGACAGAAGTAAACGTGCCCACTGAGCGCAGTCACCTGTGGGCACCACCCATGGTCCCTGGTCCCCGTGAGCAGCAGAGGGAGGAGGGGGTACCCGTGTGCGGCGCTGGAGCGAGGAGAAGGCGGCCAGAGTCTCCCAGGTCCCACGGTCCGGTGGCTTTGGACAAGTGCACTCAGCGCAGACCCAGGCCTCAGTGTCTCTGCACCTTGCTGCCCCAAAGGCCGCTCTGAGCATGGAGCGCATCCTCAGAGAACAGCCGGAGCCTGGAGCCAGGAGGCCCCCGGCCAGGCAGGCACAGTTCAGCCTCGCCTCGTGTCCCGAGGCCAAGCTGGGGACCAGGCGAGGCTGTGGCAGTGGCTGCGCTGACCCAGGTTTGCACACCTCCTGTCGGGTGTCCACCCGAGGCAGCAGGCCGTGCAGCAGGGGGCCGCGTGCCCTGAGCGTCTGCCGGGGTCGTGCCATGGCCGTCAGCTACCAGCCGTGCCCCTGGGGCCAGTGACTCCACTGCCCTGTGCCTCAGTTTCGCTATCAGCAAAATGAAGGTGAGAATTACCATGTACAGTTGTGAACATTGAAGGAATTCGTATCTGTAAGATTTTTATTTTATTTTTAATATATTTAATTGATTTTTTACAGAGAGGAAGGGAGAGGGATAGAGAGTTAGAAACATCGATGAGAGAGAGACATTGACCAGCTGTCTCTTGCATACCCCCTCCTGGGGATGTGCCCACAACCAAGGTATATACCCTTGACAGGAATTGAACCTGGGACCTTTCAGTCCAAAGGCCAACACTCTATCCAATGAGCCAAACCGGTTTCGGCAATATCTGTTAGATTTTTAGACACGTACAAGTCTAGGCCCAAGGCTGCTTGCTGATGTTTGCTCTTGTATCATTCTGTCCCTTTGAAAACCCCTTCTCCTGCCCTTCCCTGCACGTGGTAAGCGAGGCTTGTACACGTAGCCGACCAAGCATCCAACCGCTCACTCCTGGGCATGGTGGACGTGTCCCTTAACACCCCTAGATTAATTACATCAGGTCTGGGGCTCTTGCTGTTTGATTCTGGCTCCTAAGAACCTCACAGAAAATCCAGAATCCAAGTCGTGGGGCAGCAGGAAGGCATGGGTGGACGGATCCATGTAGGGCCTGCCGTCTCCAGCAGGGGGCAGTGAGCACCAGGCTGTGCTGGGCATTCCGCGGCCTTCAGCCCCACCCGTTCCGGGAACCACTGCACTGCCTCCCGAAGGAGGGACGTCACTCCGGGGCTGACGCTGCCACCGTGGGCCGTGGGCCCTGCTCCTCCCAGACCAGAGGCTTTCCTAGCTCCCCTCGCCCCCTTCCCCGAGGAGGCGCCTCATGCCACAGGTGGCGTGGCCTCGGTCTCCCAGTCCGTAAAGGAGGCAGTCATCGCTGCCTCCTCCCCTGAGGTTTCCCACCAGCCGATTCCCAGCAGGAAAGGCCCAGCCCACAGGCACAGCTGGGAAAAGCCATTTCATTTCCTTAAGTGGCAACACTGGAGAACGGAGACCAGGAGAGGCCACTCCTGGCCCGGGACAGGCAGCCCGGGGCCCGCTGCCGAGTCTCCCAGGCCTCAGGGTCCCGCTGTCCCAAACCTGGGCCCCGGGGTGGGCCCTTCGATCCTGCACCAACAGGGGCTGCCGGGCCCAGGTTCAGGCCTTCCCCCCCCCCACCCCCCAACCAACAGCATGAATGCAACACACACACACACACAAAAATCAAGTCTTTATTGTTTGATTAATAAACCGGCCGGGAGGAAAAGAGTGGAGTGCGTGGGAAACACCCAGCTCTGATTAGTCAGGAACTCCTGTTAACCGTGTACAAAACGAGTGTTACCAAATGGTGTAAAAAAACAGGACCAAGCAAAGCGGCAGCCCCTGGGGGAGGCTCAAGGCACCTGGAGGCTGAGGACCAGGCCCCCCTGGCCGTGGGGCGTGGCCGAGGGACGGGGACCTGGGTGTGCACCCCCACTCCTGCACGCCGGGGCACACCTGCTCTCCTCTCTCCACTTACAAACCACGGAAAACCGCCCCAGAGGGACATCCGAGGCCAAGGCACGACCAGAAATGCTCAGCCCTGAGCTGAGCACAGGGAGTCCCCTCCCTGAGGCCCAGGCCTGGGGAAGGGCCACCCCGTTCCCCACGCCCCGCAGTGAGCAGACACAGACGGGAGCTGAGGAGACTCAGGTTCGATCCTCCAGTGGTCATGGGAGGCCCCAGCCAGCCACGAGAGCCAACAGCCAGGCTCTGTTCAGTGCCGACCAGGGAGAGGACCCCTGTCCTGTCCGGCGCCCACGAGGCAGGGCTGAGCTGGCATCGTCCTGCTGACGCCCTGCCCCCGGCGGCCCTAGCTGGGGTAGCACATGCAGCACCCCGCGCCCGCCGCGTCCAGGCGGGGCTTGGCGCCGGGCCCCAGCAGCCCGTCGGTGACCGAATACTCCGTGATGATGTCCTCCACCCGCGTGATGTACAGGAAGGTCAGCAGCACCCCCAGGAACTGAGGAGAAGGGAGGGCGGGCGGGTGAGAGCCTGCGGGGCATCCGGGCGGCCCTCCCTGGCAGCCCATCCCCAGAAACCCAGGCAGCCAGGCAGGAGCACACGTGGCACCGGAGACCCCAAAACCCCAGAGCACAGCCTTCTCCCAGCATCCCACTGCCAAGCAGCCCGGGGCCCTCCTCTGCCCTCCCAGGAAACCCCAGAGACCTCCCTGTGCTCATCAGCAGAGGTTCCTCCATTCTGGGATTCCTGTCCCCTCCCAGCTATGCCACTCACAATCTGGAGGACCTGGGGGAGTCACTGAACCCTGCCGAGCCTCGGTCCCTCCTCTGGCTAATGGGTATGACAGCAGGACCTACCTGGGAAGCACTCAGAAGAGCGTATAAGCAATGCTACTGCTGCGCCCTCTCCTTCCAGCCTGCAGACCCCCCGGGGTGAGCCCCGCTTGCCTGTACAAGAGCCTTCTTCCCCGGCCCCTTTGTGCCTCCTCCGCACCCTGCATTCACCTATTACCCTTTATCATCGGAGCCACAGCCCGCCCTCCCCTCTCTCTCCCCTCCCGCCCCGCGTGGAGAGGGGCCCAGCCCACCTGGGGGAGCAGGATGCCCAGCAGGAGGCCCGCCATGATGGTGTAGTTGTCCATGAACCAGATGAGCACGGCGTTGGTGCAGCCCCGCACGTAGATGACGTCCTGCACGCTGAGGCGCTGCGGGGGACGGAGCCGGCTGAGCGCCTCCCCGGGCCGCGCCCCAGTCCCCACGACCACCCATTCGAGGTCCGCCAGGCCCCTCAGCCTCCCTGAACCCATTGCACAAAGGTGGGTCCAGATCGCCGGGTCTCAATGGGAAGCTGTGTTCCCACGAGGGTGGCACTGCTGGCGGTCAGGGCAAACAGGGCTGGGAACCAGGGGGCTTCAGAGCCCAGGGCAACCCTGCTTCACCCACTTCCCGGCCTGCCTGCTCCCTGTGTCCCCCAGGCACCCCTGGGGGTGAAAAACCCACTCCTCGTTCTCTGAGCCAAAAGCCTACCTCCAGGCACCTACCCTGAATTTTGCAGAAGCACCACTGTGTAAATTAAAAGGGCGATTGTAATTTATTTTGTGCAGAGCTTTCTTGAGAAGCGTCCGCCGTTTTTTTTTTTTTTTTTAAATATATTAACTACAAAAATAATGCAAGGTGCCAACATGGCAGCCGCCGCGTCTGTATGCAGATACCCGACTGCAGTGTGTCTCCAGCGGCATCGGCCTGGCGCCTGCGCCCGGTGTGGAAATGTGCTACGTGGTTATAGGTTGTTCTGTTTCGCTTCTCCTTCCATCTCAGTTAGATCAGCGCCACTTGTTTTGAACTGAGGCGTGTAGGTGGGTCACAGGTTATATTACCGGTGGGTTTCCTCTCAGGATGATGTCAAGGGCATTACCAAGAGGTTCGTACAAACACCGACCATGGATCTGATGGGTTGAGAGCCACGGCCGGCCTATGGCTCCCCAGTTTCAGTGTGGGCCAAAACCACCTTCCGGCCCCACCCCGGAATGTGCTTCTAATGAGCTCCTGGTGCTGCTGCTGCTGCTGCTGCTGCTGCTGCTGCTGGGACCGCACTGTGAGAGCCACTGCCCAGAGGCACTCGGGAAGCTAACCCAGGAGGGACCACTGAGAGCTCTGTCCTCCAACGCCTCCTGGGTCCCAGGCTGAGAGAACCCAGGGAAGACCATCTGCAAACGGGTGCTCTGAGGGCAGAGGCAGGCAGGCTGGCGCTGGGCACGCCGGGCACACGAGCATGCCTCACCAACAAGTCCTCAGCAGGTGCAAACCCTGGCCAGTGACCTCTCCCAGCCAAGGGGCCCATGGCGCCCAGAGACCCCCCCCCCCAACCCATGTCTGGGGAGAGGTAGGAACCTCTGCCATTCCCCTGCTCCTGTCCGCAGCCAGAGATGTTGGGACATCCCAGCAGCCAGGAGCCCACCTGAGGGAGGGGAAGGGACAGGAAGAGCCACCTTCCCGAGACTCGGAAGACATTACCTCCTTGTTGATCGTCCTGTAGCCACACATAGTGTTGACGACCTCTGTCTGAAAGAGAAAGGCATGTGAGGGGATGCGGGCGGTGCGCACTGTCGGACGGGCATCCTCCCGTTTCATGGGGAGAGCCGGGCGGAGTCCAGTATGGCTGCAGCTGGGATCCCCTCCCCCGGCAGTCTGGCTGGGTCTGCATCTTCCCATTCCCCCCACCCCCACCCGCCTGTTCCCCGCCCGCTAAGAAATGCCCATAGTAAGGTGACCAGACATCCCGCTTTTGGTGTGACAGTCCCAATTTTTAACAATGTTCAGCCCCAATTTTTAACAATTTGTCCTGCGTCCCGAGGCGTTTTAAAAAAAAGTCCCGATTTTTTTTTTTTTAAACGCCTTGGGACGCGAGACAAATTGTTAAAAATCGGGACTGTCCTGCCAAAAGTGGGACATCTGGTCACCTTACCATAGCAGGTGATCAGTGAACCCACCTCTTGAGGCCGTTTTGAACATCAAGTGAGATATGCACTTGAAATGCTTGTCCCCGGGCCGGGCACACAGGAGGGCCCAGGAATGCCAGCTGGAGGGACTTTGTTTATAACTTTGTCTATAACCCCAGCTTCCGGGAGGGCCAGGAGGAAGCGGGTGCAACTCAGACATCACCCAGATCAGTCTACGTGCCAGGGCCTGGTGAGCAAAATATCCTCAGGCTCAACGGTCCACCAGGAGCCCCGGGCCCCAGCACCACCTACATCCATGGAGCATTCTCGCCACTCCAGGCCATGAACATGACCCCAGGGTCAGGCCAGGAGCAGGGACCCGAGGGCTCCATGGGAGTGGACGCTTCCCACCCTGTTTGTTCGTTCACGCAGGCAAATACGGACTGCACACAGTTCCCATAACTGTCCTAGGTATTTGGAATAAAGATGAAGAAAAGGAAGTCCTTCCTTCATGGAACTTCTATTCGGAAAAGGGAGACGTGGACATAACAAACAGGCAAACTCCGTGGCATGTAACGAGAGTGACTTCCCTGTGGTTCCAGCCCGGAGGTGGGACCACAGCCCTGCCCTGGGGAGCAGCAGACAGGCAGCTTCGGGCAGAGGTGTCCCTCACACAGGAGCCCAGAACCCTCCCTCTGCCCTGGGGGAGGGGGACTAGCCTTCCCTTCCAGGAGAGCTCCCCTCCCAGGAGGGGGATAAAGAGCAGTCATGGGCTTTCCCAGGGTCAAGCTTGCCTGGGTGTGACCACAGAATCGATATTTACAAGCCAACGGGAAGCTCTGTGGCTCAAACCCCCTAGAGAGCCGGAGAGCTGAGGCGGGGCTCCTGCCCCAGGTCAGCAGCGGAGGCCCAGGGAGAGCCGATGCTGCAGGCAGGTGCCACTCAGGCAGGAAGCATTCTCTCGGGGGGAGGGACTAGTCATGCCCAAACCCTCTAGGAAGCCCCGTTAGGACGTCTCTTTCCGAGCTGAGCGCAGGGGAACAGTGACTCCGCTGCCCATTGCCGGGGGAGCAGGCACACCTCCCCTCCGGCTGCAGGGAGCTCCAGCTACCAAACACGAGGCTCGTTTTCAGAGAGTCCACAAGCCTGTGGGCCAGTGTTTCCCAAATTTTAACATATGTTTACCCCTTCTATAACTTTCATAACGCTGAGTACCCCTTGTCCTCGTGAGAACGTAGAATTAGGCGAGGCTAAGCACAGTGCAGTGCATATCCCCACCAAACTCCGGTGCAACGCGTACCCCCACCAAACTCTTCCTGTACCCCTGGGGGTACGCGCTCCACACTTTGGGAAACACTGCTGTGGGCTGAAGGGTCAGTATCCCACGTTTTCTCCATCACCCAGCCCTTCTACTTCAGAATACATTTCCCTTGGCTCTGACTGTTTTAAAGTTTAGGTTTCTGTTCTGTGTGTTTCAGAACCTCGGCTGAATGCGATCCTATAAAACTAGTATAATAGAATCACATGCAAATGGACCCGATTCCACCCCCTTTCGCATGGAGAGAAAATCACCCCCGTGCAGGAGGCACAGCGGGCACCCAGCGGGTTTGTGCTCTGGGACCTGAGACCACGCGGCCAGCCGGTGGGCAGCTCCCCACCGGCGTTCCCGTTCGGAGGCCAGCTTTCCGTTTCCTTTCTCTCAGACGGCATCTGTGTGTCCGCTCCCAGCCTGGCGTCTTCCCCCGACTCCAGGCTTCCCGCTAACGACCGCCCTGACCATCCTGCTGGCACGTCACACCGGCTCTCACACCGCACGTGTCCCTGCTGAGCTCCTGACGCCCCCGAATCTGTCCCTGCCGTCCTCCCCCTCCAGCAGCAGCAGCCCCACCTTTCTCATAGCTCAGACCAAACTCTGGGAGTTCTCCTCGGTTTCCTCTCACCACCTCCCACACCCGACCTGTCAGCAAATCCTGCTGGCTCACTTGCAAAACGCGGTTTGCCTCCTCCACAACCGCCCCCTGGACCTAAGCCTTTGCCTCCTCCCAGCACCCACAGCTGCTGCCCTTAGCTGTCAGCCCCCCCCCACCCCCCGCGGTGACTGTCACGTGTGGTTAATTTTATGTGTTGACTTGACCCAGCCTGACGGTGCCCAGATAGTGCGCCAAGCATTATTCTGGGTGTTTCTGTGCGGGTATTTTTCCAATGAGAGTAACAAATCAGTAGACCAAGGAGAGTGGATTGCCCTCCCTAATATGGACAGGCCTTGTCCAGTCTGTGAAAGGCCTGATTCGGACAAAAGGGCTTCCTTGCTCTGGCTGGCCAGCGTGGCTCAGTTGGCAGAGCATCATCCAGTGAGCCAAAAGGTCGCCTGTTTGGTTAGGGCACACGCCTGGGTTTCAGGCTCAGTTCCTGATAGGGGAAGTGCAGGAGGCAGCCAATCAATGTTTCCCTTGCCCTCTCCCTCTCCCCATCTCACTAAAAATCAATTTAAGCTGAAACCAGTTTGGCTCAGTGGATAGAGCCAATCGGTCTCGGTCCCAGGTTCGATTCCGGTCAAAGGCATGTACCTTGGTTGTGGGCACATTCCCAGTAGGGGGTGTGCAAGAGGCAGCTAATAGATGATTCTCTCTCATCGATATTTCTAACTCTCTATCCCTCTCTCTTCCTCTCTGTAAAAAAATCAATAAAATATATTTTTAAAAATAAAATAGAAATCAATTTAAAAATCATTTACAAAAAGGCTGCCCTCTTGCCCCTCACCCCCGTTTACAGAGAATGCTTCTAGCCAGACTGTCTTCAGATCTGACCTGGAACCCCAGCTCGCCCTGGTCTCCAGCCTGCCAGCCTTCAGAGAGGGCCCACACCAGCCGCGCTCCTGGATCTCAGGCCCGGAGGCTCAGCGCAGAACGAAGCCTCTGCTCTCCCGAGTCTCCAGCTTGCTGATGACCCTGCAGCTCTCAGGACTCCCTTGCCTCCATTACTCTGTGAGCCGACTCCCTATGATAAATCACGCTACACACACACACACACACACACACACACTCACAGACACAACACACACACACACACACACACACACACTCACAGACACAACAAACACACACACACACACACACACACACGCACACACACACGCACAGGCATATGTCCTTTTAGTTCTGTGTCTCTGCCGCACAGAGCCAGCAGTCCTCCCAGGTGGGACACTGGACCCCTGCGATGCCTGGTCCCGGTGGGCATGAAGCCTGGGCCTCCGTGTTCCAGTGCGGGCAACTCGGGGAATCCACAGGGATTCAGCCGAGGTGCCTACTGGGTCTGCATTGTTGCTCAGCTCCCCCCTCTGCCCAGCTCTGCCTCTGTCAGCTCCCATACAGGTATTGATCCCGAGAGCACCTTCTGCTGAGCCTCCTGCTCACGAACCCGAATCACAGAGCCTGCTGCCCCGACAGCTGACCTGTGACGCCTGGGCCGCCGCACTCGCCCTTAGCCAGCCTCCCTGCACCCACCTCTTGTGGTGTCATGGAGAACCCACCTTCTCAGTATCTAAAACGGCAACCTCTCGTGTTCCTGCTTTGTTTTTATCCGTAGCATTTGTCACCTTCTAACATTCCCCTTTGTTATTTGTTTTGTCAATTTTCCCCAAGAGGACAGAGTTCCCTGTGTGTTTGCCTAAGAGCACATGGAGAACCAACCCCCAGAACCCAGAACCACATCTGGCAAGTAGCTGGTCCTCAATAAACACTTGTTGAATGAATGAGTGAAAACTGGGCTTCCACATTTCAACGTGGACATTCAGGTGCCACTGCCCTGGGTGATGAAGTTGAGGATCACCTCCCACAGCCCTCCCCCACCCCAGATCACTGGGCTCCTTCCCAGCACCCCTCCGCCCAGAGAACTCCCCTAAAATGGCAGCTAAAATTTCCAACACACCTTCCCCCCTGCCCCAGCTTTTTTTTAGGTCTCAGACACTTGTCACTGGCTCCCCGACTCCCGGGCGAGGCCGCACCCTTGCCACCGGCTGCTCAGTTTACAGAATCCGCCAGTGAGCACAGAATGACGGAGACGGCCGAAGAGACATTTTCCATGATCGTCCGGACATGAGTCATGGCGAAGCTCTCAGACTCATTCCGGCCCGGGCACCGGGCAGCTTTGGGACACGTTAGTCAAACACAGAAGATGGACGGAGCCTCTCCCCTCCGTCAGCGGTGACTACATGGCATTTACGTCACCAGCCCCGCTTCCAGGCCTTGTCACTGGTGATCACCACGCCCCCAAGCCCTGGAGACGCCCAAGGCAGGCCCCGTGCTGGCCCTCCGGCTGAGGAGGCAGAACCGGCTCCTCTGAGCCGCCCTGGCCCTAGTCCTCTCGTGCTCCCGGCCCGGCTCGTCCAGCAGCCCGAGCACAGCTCCGGCGATGGCTGCCTGCACGCCGGCCCAGCCCTGCCCACCTGCTGCTGCCTCCGTTTCCTCTCCTGTTCGGTGGATGATACAATAGCACCTACCTCACAGGGTAGCGGACAGGACTACGTGGGTTAATACAACTAAAGCACCTAGACAGCCGGTGGCATGGCTCAGTGGTTAAACATAGACCTATGAACTACGAGGCCACAGGTTTGATTCCTGGTCCGGGCACATGCCCGGATTTTGGGCTCAATCCCCAGTAGGGGGCGTGCAGGAGGCAACTGATCCATGGTGCTCTCGTATCATGAATGTTTCCATCTCTCCCTCTCTCTCTCTGAAATCAATAATAATAATAATAAGAAGAAGAAGAAGAAGTCACCTAGAGAGGCCCGCACAGGCGAGGCACAGTGGATGTGGACTACACTCCGCCCTCCTAGTGAAGGAAGGCCCCCGGCTTCACCCCCGCAGGAGCCCGTGAGGCCCGGGAAGCCTGAACAACGACCACCACCTGCAGCCTCTCCCATCCCCCCACCCTGTCCTGAAAGACGATGAGGGTGCCGGCCAGCTGGGAGGCCCGGGGGCAGGGGGTACCGTGTTCCTGAAGCAGCAGGTGTAGGGCACCCCGCAGGCCAGGGGTCCGGGGGCGTTGCAGTCGTGGTACTGGTTTTTGCTCCAGTCGCGGTAGTCCTCGCCGCCACAGCACTTGAACTGCGAGAGGAAGCAAGCGGGGAAGGAGCCGCTGTGACCACGGCGGCCGCGGGCAGGGCGCCCTGGCAGGGGGCGAGGCCATCGAGGTGGCTCGCCCTGCTCCCAGGAGGGTGAGCCACATCCCTCCCGATCACCCTCAGGCTCCTCCTCTGCCTCCATGGTCCCCCCTCTTGGCGTCATTGTGGGGCTTTATAGCTACACCCTATTCTTATTTTCTAGGGGGAGGGTCCATGGAACAGGTAGAGCAAGGCACGTGGGCAGAGGACTGGCTGAGAAGGTCAGCCCCATCCTGGCTGGTCAGCTACCTGCTTGGGCATGGATAAGCCTCATACCCCCTCCCCTCCCCCTCTGAGCAGGGTCCCAGGCGAGGGCGGGGCAGGGAGGAGGAGGAGAAGCGCGCGGGAGGCACAGCTCTGACGCAGCCAGCCTGGCTCACCTTCTTCTGAACAAAGTCCATGATGTTTTTGAAGTCCAGGTCATCGTAGTAGTTCACGATGCCTCTCCGAATGTTGTTGTTCAGGAAGTCGATGGTCTATTTAAAGAGAAAGATTACAAAAGAGGACCACATGTATCCCAGAGACCAACCGAGGCTTCCCAGAGGTTCCCATTGGAACAGAGTGCCAGGTGCCCGGGAAGCCTCCCGCCTGCACGGAGCACCCCCTCACTCGCACCCTGAACACACACGACCTCCTGCCCACACACCCTCTCTGGGCCTCTAATGCCCATCTGAGGCCTGAGCAGGAGGGACTCACCCCTTTTCCTGAGAGGGGGTCCAGCTGGGGGTGCACAGCACCAAAACAGCTGAGGGGCTGGCCGGTCCTCGGCTGTCCCCGCCTGGTGTTCCTCCTCCTGCCCAGAGGCAGGCCTGAGCGGAATCTTCTCTTTGCCCCCCAGACCTCTCCACTCTTCTCTACTATCCAAGTCTTTTTTTTTTTTTTAATATATTTTATTGATTTTTTTACAGAGAGGAAGGGAGAGGGATAGAGAGTTAGAAACAACGATGAGAGAGAAACATTGACCAGCTGCCTCCTGCAACCAAGGCACATGCCCCTGACCGGAATCGAACCCGGGACCTTCCAGTCCGCAGGCCGACGCTCTATCCACTGAGCCAAACTGGTTTCGGCAACTATCCAGCTCTTGTGTTCACAGAGAAGGAAGCCGAGGCCAGAGAGGGGTCTGGCTCTCCCCACTTCGCAGAGCAGCCGGCGAGGGGCCCAGCCAGGACATGGCACGAGGTCCCCCGAGTGCCCGAGGGCCCTTCCCCAGGGCTGCAGGGCTCTGGCCCCGAGGAGGGGTCCGGCCTCCCGCCTGAAACTGGGGCGATAACCGCCGGGAAGAGCGCTGGCACGCCGCCCTCCCCCCCCCCCCCCCCCCTGCCGTCCTGGGCCTTCGGATCAACAGCCCGGCTGTTGTGTGAGATCCCGGAGCACAAAAGGCCCCGCAGCGGGCAGGGGTGGGACGGGGGTGGGGGCAGCCCAGCTCCCTGCTCACAGGGACAATTGGGGCCTTCAGAGCGGGGAGGCCCTCCTATCACCGAGATTGTGCGACACAAAGCGGGCATTCTCGGCCCTGGAGCCAGACGAGGACGGCCGGGGGAGGGGCCTGCGGGACCGCGGGGCCCTGGGGCCAGGCCCAGCCCTGCTGCTGCGAGCCCCGCCACTGCTCGTCCCCTCGCTGGGCCTCAGCCTCCGGGCCTGTCTGTATGGCACCTTCCAGCTCCAAGGATCCACGACCAGGCGGAGAGGGACTGTGGGGCCTTAGGATCGAGAACAGCCCTGCAGCCACCTCAGGCCTCAGGCACTTCCTTTAACCTCTCAGCCTCCATTTCTTCACCAGCAAAGTGGGGAGGCATCCTCTACCTCCTAGGGCTTTGAGATTTAAATAAACTAAAAGTCCTTCTGAAGATGCCAGGGACCGTATTGGTCCTGGTCTTATCACCTCTTCATATCCATCACACCACCCGTGGAAAGTGGCTAACCCCAGGGGAAGCCAAGGCCCCAAGTTTTGTCGCAAAGACATACTTCAATGGCTGCAGCCTTGGGGCAAGAGCCAGTCCCTGGCCTAGGACCCCTCACAAGCACCCTGCAGCCTAGAGAAGCCAAGTGGCTTGTCCAAGGTCACCCTGCTGGTCGTTGGCAGGTTGGTGCACTTTAAGAAGCCATCTCCCCGCCCATCTGCAGAGTCAGGAAGAGAGACACAAAGGATACATGTGCCAAGTCCTTCCCGACATACCACTCAAAGCCAAGGAGGCAAAGGAGACCGGCTCAGGGAGGCCTCTGTGGCAGCAGGAGAGCCCTCTGTGCCGATGAGCTGCCGCCCGGAGCAGCCCTGGGAGCTGGAGAAGACTGGCCTCCTGACTTTGAGGCCCAGGGAGGAGGGCAGGAGGACCAGGCCTCTCCCAGCTGAAACCTCTGCACTCACAGCCCACAGCCCTGCGTGTGTCTGACGCTGGATCCTGGGGTCAGGGCTCGGGGGGGGGGGGGGGCACTGCCTGGGCAGAGCAGGGACCACCTGGCTTTTCCAACTTAGGTGCCCGCTCCTCTGGGTGATCCTGGGCCTTGGTTGGAGTGTCTAAGAACAGGACACCAGCGCGGAGCCAGTCTGCCCCGCTGGTAGGGCAGGGAATGAGCTCCTGGCATTGAGTGGCACGCTGCAGGGGCACTTGGCTGAGCTGAGGCACCAGGGGCAATGTCAGTGTCAGGGACACGTCTAAGGCTGCGTGCACAAGGGTGTGTCAGCTGGCTTCCTTCCACTCTCGAGGCACTGCAGACACAGCCCCGGCCCACCATGACCTTCTACACCAGCCCAGCCTACTGGCCACCTCCCAGCCCTCCACTGGGTCAGCGTGCTGGAGGTGGAGGGAAGGGGAGGAGGGCAGGAGCAGAGGGGATGCCCAGAGGCCTGAGGGGGAAAGCTGTCCTCGCTCTTTGGTGAGCAGCCCTGACCTCTCTCCCCAAACCATCTCATCTCTGAGCACCTTCCAAAGCTGCCGACCCCACAGGAGGCCTGTGTGAGAACCCGGCTTTCCCTCTGGGAACCGAGTGGGCCTGTGGGGAAGACGGCCCCCTGGAGGCCTCCGGACACGGGCAGGAGGAGCAGATGGTCCCAGGCTCCGAGGCGGCAGCTGCCCCAGTTCCCAGCAGGGGCCTCTCTGCATCATGCTGGCTCGCATGTGTGTGCACTGCCTTTGGCACTGTGTGTGCGAGCGCGTGTGTGTGAGTATGTCTGTCTGTGTGTCTGTGTCTGTATTTGTGTGTCTCTGAGTATGTACATGTGTGTATGTCTCTCTGTGTGTGTCTGTATGTGCATGTGTGTGTGTGTCTGTGTGTGTGTGTGTGTGTGTGTGTGTGTGTGTGTGTATACAAGGAGATGTGGACATTCAGGTGGTCCCCATGCTGCGATGGGCTAGGGGGTGGGTGGGAGGTTCCAGCGATGCAGGCGAGTTGTCCTGTTCACTATGACTGTAGAGTGCTCTGCTGTGCTCAGCTGTGTTCAGAGGGATTGGGTGGGGGGTGGGGGCACCCAGAGGATACACCTTGCAGAACACGGCAGGGAAGAGACAATTCTGGTTCCTCTGCTGCTCCCAGCGCCAATCACACTCAGAGTCACACACACACACACACACACACACACACACACACACACGTGCAGGTTCTAAACCCAGTCACACCAGCAGGGGCAGCTCCAACAAGGTCTAGAAAACTACCTTTCACAGACGCTGGCAGGGCCTCAAGGCCGTGTGGCCAGGCTAAGTTAAGCAAACAGTGAGCAAACATCAAAGGGCACGGCACGCATGGCCCCTTGTGCAAGCCACCAGGTTCGAGCCATCTATCGATAGTTCTTTCTTCTAAATCTCGTTTTAAAGACACCTGAAGCCGCCACGTCAGCCCTCTCAACAGGGACACTCAGGGTGTTTTACATCAGTGAGGAGCTGGAGGGGTGGGGGAGTGGCAGCAGCTCCCCCAGGCTGGGAGGCTGGAGGAGCAGGGAGGGGGGGAGGGGGGAGGGGCTGGAGCCACCCAGCAGGAAGGAGCAGCCTTCATGGAGGCTGCCAGCTCCCTATTAGCTTCTAAAACCCCAGGCTGGGGAGGCCGGCTGCTGGCAGCCCCGTGGGAACCAATGCCAGCCGGACTCTCCGAACATGGCACCTCACAGCACTGAGCCAGCCTCTCTGGGCTTCCCTCGGTCCCCTCGAAGGGGGGGGCTTTGGGGGCTCATCTTCTTGCCCCCCAACCCCAGGCTCTGCTCCGGCCCTGCACTGGCCCAGTCTGACAGCTGAGGGCCAACGAGAACCCAAGAAGCAAGAACAAAGGAGAGGAGAGCTGCCATCCCCTCCCTCAGGCCTGGCCGGGCCACGGGTGTAATCCCCGCGACGGGGAGGCTCTGCTTCCGTTTCAAAGGTGTCTGGGGCTCCAGCTCTCACTCCCAAATGACTACCCACGGAGTCCGGCCAGATCAGTGCAGAACTTCCTCTTCTTTGCTCTGGGTAGAAGGATATACATGTTCAGGTGCTCAGCACACACACAGTGTGTGTGTGTGTGTGTGTGTGTGTGTGTGTGTGTGTGTGTTTGTGCGTGTGTGGTGCCATCTCTTTTCTCCCAGCCCCTGATCCCAAAGTCAGGCCCAAAGCTAGCTAGTGCTGGTGTCATGATAAAACAAACAGGCTGCATGCTGCTCACCATCCCCTGGCCTTTGGCAGAAGGGAGGAGGCTTGGGATGGGGACACCGATACAGCGGGTAGATCCCAGCACCCTCTGGGTGACCCTGCTCAGCTCTGCTGCCTGGGAACACACAGGTAGGGCTTGCCTTCCTCCCACAATCCTGACACCCTCAAGAGAGTCCCTGGAACAGGCTGGGGTGGTGTCAGGTCAAGAGGGGTGAGACAGACAAGTCACGGAGGTCATTCCGGTTTCCTCCCTCCGGCTGGGGTCAAGCTGCACCCCTGCTCCTACCATCCAGGCCTCAGGGCCCCCTGCTCTGTGCTGGCTCCCCAGTGCATGGCCTCCAGACCGTACAGGCAGAGGGGTCTCTTCTGTCTGACTGTCAGGAGGTGCCTGCCTGCCGGCAGAACCCTGGTCCAGGGCCAAGAGCTGGTAGGGAGTTCCTGCCTTCCTGCAGGGAGTCTGCATCTCCGCAGCCTGGCTGTGGCCACGGGCTCTGCATCTTCCCGAGAACAGAATGTGAAGTCATTTGCTTGACGGCTTGTCCTCATGTGTCACCACGAGTGGATTCTCAGAGTTACAGGTGACCTGAGGGGGCTGAGGCACCAGGCTTGTGGTAGTGAGGCTCAGAGAAAGCTGTCCCTCCTCTTGGCGAGGAGAAAGAGGAGCTGGGAGCTCGCCTCCTCTCAGCAGCATCTGTAATTGCTCCTTGCCTTTTCCTCCACCCGCACTGCCTCTTCCTGCCCCTTCCACGGCCAGGCCCTCCCTCCCAGCCTCCCCCTGGGCTCGTCTCCTGTTTGACGACAGCACACTGCACCAGAGTCGGGAGAGACATTACTTTTCTTTATATGGTATGTTCCCCTAGATTATGACACAGGAAAAAATATATAAACAAGAAAATAAAAAATCGCCCTCGTCCCTATCCCTTAGAGGAAATATGAGTTTGTGTGTTCAGGTTTCCATTTCCTTCCAGAGTTTTCCAGGCCTATTTTTTTTTTTTTCATGCGGAAATCTCACTGCGCTTATAGTTTTGCATCTCACTTTTGAATTACTTTGAAATTTGTATGATAGGCGTAGGACAGCACAGCCCACCATGAACCCCAAACAACTGAGACCCCCGATGGTGAGGGTCCATCCTGGGCTCCATGCTGAGACATCCTCTGACAGGGCTGGCTGAGGGGACACCCCATCCCAGGGGAAGAAGGCACACACATCACCCCACAGTTCCCTCAGAGGATAACTGGTAATGTACATCCCGACCTCAGGCCCACAGCATCCCTGGCTGCAAGGGCCACATGGCCCTGGAGGTTTCACCTGGGCTCAGCTCCCTCACTGGAAAGGAGCAGTGTCGGAGCCCTGTGACTGCAAGGCGCTGGAGAATGACGGATCGGACTGCCTTGGAGAAAGCACGCTGGAAACCGACCACTGCTCACTTAGGAGATTGTTTATTAAAACCACTGATGCTGCCGACCATGACCGGGGCCTGGGCTGTGGCCAGCAAAACACTAACCCATCATCTCCGGAAAGCCGCAGGCCGGCTGGGAGCCCTGCTGGCTGCACAGAAAAGCACCCGCATGGGCAGATGGAATAAACAACTCCCCTCAGCACTGCTGACAGAATAGCCCACGCCCTGGCTCTGCCAGCTCAGAACAGACCGTCTGAGAAGTAGAAAAGGGGGAAAGGAGGAGCAGGTAGCAAAACCAGGTTGGGAAACCAACCCATGAGGCAAATAAGAAATCAAAAGGGAAATTTAGCTGAGACCGGTTTGGCTCAATGGATCGAGCATCAGCTTGGGGACTGAAGGGTCCCGGATTTGATCCGGTCAAGGGCATGTACCTTGGTTGCAGGCATATTCCCAGTAGGGGGTGTGCAAGAGGCAGCTGATCGATGACTCTCTCTCATCGATGTTTCTAACTCTCTATCCCTCTCTCTTCCTCTCTGTAAATAATCAATAAAATATATTTTAAAAAATAAATAAAATTAAAAAAATTTTTAAAAAAGGGAAATTTAAAAAATATCACAAGACAAATTAAAATGGAAACACAACATACCAGCATTTAAGTAGTCCTAAGAGGGAAGTTTATAGTGGTTCTTTCTACATTAAGGGGGGGAGGGAGGGAAGATCTCAAATAAACAGCCTAACTTTATACCTCAAAGAACTAGAAAAACACACTAACCCTGACGTTAGAATGAAGAAAATAACAAAGATCAGAATGAAAACAAATGAAATAGAGACTTAAAAAAAAAAAAGAATTTAAAAAGATCAATAAAGCTAAGAGAGCTGGATTTTTGAAAAACATAAACAAAATTGACAAAGCTAGACTATGAAAAAAAAAGAGAGAATATTTAAATAAATAAAATCAGAAATGAAAGAGATGTTACAAAAATAAAGAGGAGAGGTTACAACTGATGTCACAGAAATACAAAAGATCATAGGAGACTGCTATAAACACTTACACACCCATAAACTAGATAACTTAGAAGAAATAAATTCCTAGAAACATACAATCAACCAAGACTGAATCCTGAAGAAAGAGGAAATCTGAACAGACCAATAACGAGTAAATAACTTGAATCAGTAGTTAAAGGCTCCCAATAAAGTCCAGAACAAGATGGCTTCACTGGTAAACTCTACCAAGTGTTTAAAGAAGAATTAATACCAATCCTTCTCAATTTATTCCCAAGTACTGAAGACCAGGGGACACTTCCAAGCTCATTTTCGAGGCCAGCATTGCACTGACACCAAAGTCAACAAGGACATCCCAAGGAAAAAAAAAAAGTACCAGCTCACATCCCTGATGAACATAGTTGCAAAAACCACCAACACAATATTAGCAAACCCTTCGCCCAGACTCCACGAGCTAGGAACCATGACCCCTAAGGAGCCCAGGGTCTCCTGGAGGTGGAGTACTTGCCCAAGGTCACACAGCTCGTAGGAGGCTAATGGCATCTGTGATGGAAACAGGTTGCTTTCTGAGCCAGAGAAGACCTTGGCAGAAGTCAGACTCTGGGTCATTTGAGGGATCTTCGAATCATGGCGTCCGGGAACTCTGTGTCTGGGACAGTGACTGCTGCCTGGGCTCAACTTCTGACAAGACAAACAATGTGGCTGCATCCCTGATGCCCCCGTCCAACAGTGATGCCCAGGAGTGCCAGGAACAAAACAGTCTGGGTGGTGAGGGTGATGGCAGGGGAGTGGACAGAGAAGGCTGAGTTTCCGAAAACAGGCCCTGCTCCTCAAGCCCTGCCTCCGACGCCAGGCTCGGAGGAAGACAAAGGAACCGGGAGAAATTACAGATCTCCGGATCTCTGAGCTGGCGGCCGGCCCCGCTCAGCCCCCAGCTTCCTGTGGGACCTTGGGCAAGTCCCTTCTCTTCCTCAGGCTTCAGGGCAAAGAAGCTTCTATGCAAGGAGGGTGCACTAGGGACCGAGTTCTTCCCTCGCATTCTCTCATCACACCCTTAGCCCAGACTCCGTGAGCTAGGAACCATGACCCCTAAGAAGCCTAGAGGCTTGCCCAAGGTCAGTGGAGGACTTGCCCAAGGTCACACAGCTCATATGAGGCTACATGGCATCTGTGATGGGAAGAGTGGGAGACCAAGGGTCCTGAGAACCCTTCCAGCTCAAAGGGCTCCTGATTCTGCAAACCATCCCAGCAGGTTTGATGCCACATGGTCTTTCCAGCCTTTCTCACCCTCACTCTTTTTTTTTTTTTTTAATTGATTTTTTACAGAGAGGAAGAGAGAGGGATAGAGAGTTAGAAACATCAATGAGAGAGAATCATTGATCAGCTGCCTCTTACACACCCCCCTACTGGGGATGTGCCCGCAACTAAGATACATGCCCTTGACCGGAATCAAACCTGAGCCAAACTGGTTTCAGCTCACCCTCACTCTTATATCCCAGCACAACCAAGCTCTATAGACAGAGCCTCCAAATGTACTCCAGGCCCCTGGTCTCCCCACAGTGATGACATGTAAGCCAGATCACATCACCCTACACACACATACACACACATGCACACAACTCTGCAAAGGCTTCCTGCCTTAGAAAAAATCCCCACCTCCCAAACCTCGGCCCCTGAGAACCCACGTGACCTGCACTAGCTGCCACTGCAGCCCCGCCTTCCATCCCTCCCCATCGCTCACGCCCTTCAGCCCAGTGCATCCCCGTGGATCCACGTTTGGATGAGCTCCGTTCGGCCTCAGGGGCTCCCTCGGCCTGGGTGTCTGCTCCCCCTGAGCCTTCCATTATTTCATCACTGTCCTCCCACTCTGCACCCGGGCCCTCTCCCATCGCCCTGGGTTGGCTTCTTGCTCTCCGGTTTCCCTTTCCGTGCCCGTCTCCCCAGCAAAACGGACGAGGAATCGCACGCCCCGCTCTCTCCTCTGCGCACACCCCGTGTTACAGCCCGGGGCACACGCAGCCGGGCTCGGCGTGCACGTGGCTGATACTCGCGCCCCAGGCCCACCTGGTTCCGGAAGATCAAGGCCACCACGCCGCCAATGAGCTCAATGATGAGGCAGATCCCGAGGGTATACATAAACTGCAAAACAAAATTCAGAGAGTCACCCTCGGTGGCAGAGGCGGCGCTGTCAATCAGGAGTCATCTCCTTTTGGATGGCAGAGCCTCCCGGGCCTCTCGCCCTTCCTCCCGTGAGGACACAGGATGTGGGCGTTCTGAGGGAAAGCCCGTCTTTGGAGCCCGGGGTCAGGAAAAGGGATTCAGCTATGCATGCCAGACTGCTACCAAGGTTTGTCCCAGGGCTCCTCGGTGGGACTGAGACGGAAAAACATCCCCCACCACCACCACCACCACCACCTCCCTCAACCCCAAAAGGAGAGCTGATCCTCGCTCGGCTGCTCCAGAGGGGACAGGCCTGGCCTAACGGGCAGGGCAGTATCTCCAGCTGTGCAGGCAGAGCCCCTCGCAAATGGCTTCCCAGACTCCCAGAGTGGGGAGGGGGTGCCTGAGACAGCATGCACCCCACCCCCGCGCTGCCTCACAGTGCCCGCATTGTCCGGACCGAGGCCGGCAGCTCCCAGCCTCAGGCAGCACCGAGGCCCTGCTTACGGGGCTTTCCGGGGCTTCCCGTGTGAGGAAGACAGTGTGGACGCAGAGCAAACGCATCTGCCTCTCTGGTACCCCCAGCTCTGGAAACCCATCCTTCACCCCACAGTCAGGGGGGCAGAAGGGCTGACCCCACCCCCTGGCCCCAGGACAGGCCCTTCTGAGTCCTGGGGTTGGGGCCAGAACTACCAAGAAAGGTTCCCTGGGGCAAGCGCCACCAGGACTCTGTTGGCCTGGGGCTGCTGGCGACACCACAAGAAAAAAGAAGGGCAATGCCAGGTGTCCAGCTGGGGGCTGGCAGGGGAGAATCCCGGGCACAGCCCGCACCCCTGGACCTGGGAGGGTTTGCTAGCTATGTGCGCTAAGAACTCACTACCATCTGGTGTTCGTTTTATTATACTTGCTCTCATTTGAGTGTGGTTTCTTCCCTTTCCAACGGGAGTCTGGGCCCACAGAGGGTTTAAGTAAGTGAGACGGCTGGTATTCAAATGCAGTAGTGGAGGCGGCCACCGTGGGCAGCGAGGCTGGTCCGGGAAACCCTCCAGCAGAGCTGCCCGAAGGCCTGGGACAGTCTCCCCGCCTCTCCCGGGGGCTCCAAGGACCCACCGCCCGCCGGCCGAGGAGCGCGGGGCCCGCTCACCGCTTGCAGAAGGCACAGGTTGTCTCGCAGGGAGGCCAGCACGCCGAGGAAGGAGACGATGAACATGATGACGCCCAGGAGGATGAGGATAATGGCCGGGGCCAGGAAGGCACTTTCGAGGGTTTTGTATTTCTGCCGCTCCACCTCCGCGTAGATCCCCACCGACAGAACCAAGGTCCCGATCAGCTGTAGCGAGAAGGCCGGGAGGGAGGGGTGAGGAGGACGGGAAGGCACCTGATTTTCCTCTCAAGAGCTTATTGAGGGCTGCGGTACCTGCCAGTTGGGGGGGGGGGGGAGGAAGGTTCACCCCAGATGACTGTCCAGGGAGGGAACCTGTTAGAGGCTGAACTGCATTCCCCAAAAATGCCTATGCTGAAGTCCCAATCCCCCGGACCTCAGGGTGACTGTATCAGGAGATAGAGCCTGTAAAGAGATAATTAGATTAAGATAACATCAGGGGGTTGGGCCTGACTCCAATAGGACTGTTGGCACAGACATACCCAAAGGGAAGACCAATGGGAGAGACAGGGAGAGGACAGCCACCTACAAACCCGAGACAGAGGCCTCAGAAAAACGGACCCTGGTCTACGGCCATACCACCCTGAACGCGCCCGATCTCATCTGATCTTGGAAGCTAAGCAGGGTCGGGCCTGGTTAGTACTTGGATGGGAGAAAAACAGACCCTGCCAACACCTTAATCTTTTACTTCCAGCCTCCAGAACTGTGACAATACGTTTCTGTTGCGTAAGCCCCCCAGTCTGTGGTACTTGGTTAGAGCAGCCACAGCAAACTAATACAGACCCTATTTGGAAATCTAGGGGAACGTTGTGGTGAGTCAGGGGGGATGCCCGGCAGAGGTCAGAGAACCTGGGCCTTGCACAGGCCGTCCTATTGCCTGGACCCTGCTTCCTCCTGAAACCCACGTGGCTCACGCCTTCAACTCTCCTTCCTGCCCTTGCTCCGTTGTCACCTGTGCATAGTCAGGCCTTTTGGGGCGGGGGGGGGGGGTCATCATATTATTTATAAAAGAATCCCACCTCCTGAAATGCCTAATCCCATTTCCCTGTTTCATTTTTCCCCTTTGCACTTGCCAGCACATGACTTCTTCCCATAAGAACAGAAGCTCCGTGCCGGGAGGGGGTTTTTCCAACTATTTCAGGCATCGCCGACAGCCAGGACAGCCCTGACATTCAGGAAGTGCAATCAGCGCTCACAACCAACGTGTGCTGAATGGGTGCCAGCTGGGCTTCCCAACAGATCCCCTCGGGTTTGAGGTCAATGCTTCCTACCAAGTCGCTTGCTGGTCCACGGGTTCTGACTGTCCAGGCCACACGCTCCCGAGGGCAGGGGCAACTCATTAGGGACCCTGGACTCCTCCACTGAGCGAGAGGCAATGTGGGACCACAACCAAAAGACATGGTGCTGTCGGCGAAGGCGCGAGTAAAGGAAGTGAGGGATTACTCAGATGTTGGCAAGATGTGCCCTGAGCACAGGTAAGCCAACATCCGGACACTGAGGAGGCTGTCCCTGCAGTGACTGGTCTACCCCGCCTTCCACTGGCTACAGCTTGCCCTCCAAATAGGTCCCTTTGACTTCCTGCTAAAGACTGTTCTGGGTACGGGCAAGGATGCCCAATGTCACACAGACCAACCGTGCTTAGAAACACCAGAAAACAGGATGACCAGGGAGCCATGGTCCTCACCCTCGGTCCCGCAGTCTGCTGTATTTCACAGCTAAGCGCGACTCCTTTGGTTTGAAAGATAACTGGGTCACAGAGATCTACTCTCCCCAAGTCAAGCAGGAATGTCTTTCCAATACACACAGGCCAGGGGGTGCTGAAGGCATCGACAAACTCAGCGGTGAGCCAGTGATTCACATGTGGCCAGAGTGGGAAAACTATAAAATGATGTCATCAAATTCACCACTTGGGTAGGCGTTCAGATTTATGAGGCAGGCCACAAACGCACCCGCAGCCCTGCCTAGGAAAATGGCGATCCCAGGAAATGAAAGAGAAAGGTCAAACAAAGACTACCTGTCACTTCACGCTCCAAAATGCAGGACATGATGAAATCGTTGTTCAAGATCAGCCTAAGGCCTGTGGGGCCTTTGAGAACAAGGGCAGGCATCTCTGGAAAGCCAGGTCCCCGCTTCCTTCCGATCACTGCACTTGTCAAGAATCACTCACTCAGCTCTGACCCTGAGCCAGACCCAGAGGCAGCCACCCTTCCACCCTAAGGCTGAGGCTGTGGCTAAGGAAGAACCCCCTCAGAGCCCAGGCAGAGAGGGACTGTGAAGACGAGGTGAACTTGAGGGCTACAGAGTGGGGGCTCATTGTCCATCTGTTTTATGTAGATATATATATATATAATATTTGATTCCAGAGAGGAAGGAAGATGGAGAGAGAAAGAGAAACATCAGTGATGGGAGAGGATCATTGATTGGCTGTCTCCTGCACACCTCCTACTGGGGATCGAGCCCACAATCCCGGGCATGTACCCTTGCCTGGAATCAAACCTGGGACCCTCAGTCCGCAGGCCAACGCTCTATCCACTGAGCCACACCAGTTAGGGCTCATTGTTCATCTTGATGAAAAGTGTAACCCTCATGCTGTCACTGAACCAGCAGGAGAACACCTTAGTATTGTCACAGTTGACCCTTACACTTTTGCGAGTCCCACGTTTCCTGTTGTCAACAAAGAAAATAGTTCTCGGCAGGATGGCCACGGCCTCGCCGGCCCCGGGCCCCACTCCCCACCGAGGCTGTGCTTCTGAGGTGAGGTGTCCTGCTTTGGAAGCCACCTCCACCACACCAGAGCTGCCGCCGCCCCCGTTCTGAGCAGCACTGACCCAGCCCGCTCCACAGAGGCAGTCCTCGGCTTCTGTTCTGACGAGCTCCCCCGAGTCCCAGGGCCCACTCCAGAACAGATGCCGGCAGGCAACCAAACGTCCTCCCACCGCCCTCCCGTTGCAAAGCATCGCATGTTCCTGACCCGTCAGCCCTGCAACATCTCCAGGCCGCTAACGCCATGGGGAAAGCCATCACGGCAAACGCCAACCCGAGCCTCCGGACTCCCCCACCTCGGGGTACCCACGGCCCATTCCTCCGGGCACACCCCGGGGTGCTGCCACCCCAGCTCTCACAGAGGCCTGACAGGCAACCCGGAGGCGGCTCCCCTCACAGCACAGGCTGATCTGGGCTCCTGGGTTCCCAGAAACGTCAAGATTTCCAAATGGTATTTACATCTCCGATGACATCAGTTTACGTTTCCATTGGACTATAAAATTAACTGTCGATGCCAGTGTGCGATCACATCCACTCTTCTCCGCTAATTATAGCCTTCTCAGGCGGCCAGCTCCCCCAGCTCCAGCACAGGAAGCAAACGGCCTATTTGTCAAGCAGGACAGCTTCGGCTAAACAGGCCGGGGCAGGGGGCACACGGCCACGCCGAGGTGGGGCCAAAGAAGGGAAGAACATGCTGCCAGCAGCCAACAGCCAGGCCCAAAGCCACATGCTGCCTTCAACGGCCTGCACAGGAGCGGGGTGCCCAGAGTGAGAGGGGCTGAAACTCCCCTCTGAGCCCCGCAGCCTGGGACCCACCTTCCTCTCTGCGGGGAGAGGCCCAGCTCCATGCGGCTGTGGGAAGCAGGAGCTCCCGTGAGGCACTCCGGCACCTGTGCTTCCTCCTCCTGCTCCACCCACTCTGTACCAGCTTCTCTCCCGCCCAGGTCAGGGCTGGGAGGAACAGGAGAGGCAGGATTAAAGATGGCGGTTGGCATTCCGGGCCTCCTTCTGTTAGTGCAGTCTCCTGGGCCGTGTCACTTCCCCTCTTTGAACCTCACTTTTCGAAAGTGCGGGACAGCATCCCGCAAAGTGCTAGACCTGTTTCACCTCCCTTAACCTCCACACTCCCGCACATCCTAGAAATGATGAGTCTCATTTTATAGACCAGGCTCTGTGGACCATAGGAGCTTAGAGTCATCAGGATTTATGACAAAAATCGATCTGTCTGTCCGGCCTAGCACTTCCAGACCAGTCTTTTGCAAAGATCTGGGAGAGAAATGTTTTTGCAAAAGATAAAGGTGCCAGAATGCTCTATGACGTTGGTAATGTTCAATACAGTAGCCACTGGCCACGTGTGACAAACAAGCTCTTAAAACGTGGCTTGTGTGTCTAAGGAACTAAATTCTTTAATTCTATTTTATTTTAATTTGACCACATGCAGCTAACGGCCATCATATTGGACAGCACGGATCTAAAGTGTGTCTCGTTGATGCTGTCTCTTACACTGTTGCTTTCTGAAAGTAGAGAGACCACGCGTAAATAAAAAATCATGTGTCCTAATCACCCTGCCACTGGCTAGAGAAGGCTCAGCGAGTATTCACTGACTTCGTTCAGGAGAAAACCGTCTCTTCTCCCACTTTCCCCCAAAAGGTTCAGTTCCTGTTGTCCCACCCCTCCCGTCCCCGAGGGAAGCAGGACAGACCAGATCCAGAGGCCCTGGCAGTGCCCCCAACCCAAACCAATGCGGGGGCCAGACCCCCTCCAGGACTGCAGGGCCGTATTCGAAGCTTTGGGTGCCCCGAGCCCGGGCGCCCCTGACCCAGCGGCCTGAGCCTGAGGAGCGGGGCTTCTTTCAGCCCAAATAAAGCCAGGCCTCAGGAAGCAACAGAAGCTGCCTCTTCCTGCCAACAAGAAGCCGGCCGGTCCCTGGTCTTCGTCACCGGGCTTTGCCGTCAGCTCTGCCTTGACCCTGGCCGTCTTCTTAAAACCCGGAGATCAAATGCAGAGAGCTCGGTTCATTGCAGTCCTTGGTCCAAGCGTTCTCTCACCCAGCCTGCTCTGGTTTGTACCGTGTATTCACCAGGCCTCCAGCCGCCACTGGCCTGCCGTGACCCGCTGTCATACTCTAGGGCTCCACAGATGCCTAGGTCAGCTTCTAGCTCCCTACGTCTTCCATCTGTCAGTCTTCCCCCAAACAAACCTCCCCATGGTAGTGACTATAGCTTTAGGACACATCTTAGCGCCTAGTAGGTCAAATCCCTCCTTCCTGTCTTCTTCAGACGTGACTGGATATTCGTGGACCTTGACTCTTCCTTATACATTTTAGAATCAATGTATCAAGTTCCATGAAAAAAAACACACCCACTTGCTGAGGTGTGATGAGAGCCGCCTGGGACCCACAAATC